CAATTGTAAATTACTAGAATGGTAAATGGTTTTTTTCCTTGCATGATTTCTTGTTTAGTATTATTATCTCTAGATAACTAATTTATAAATATTAAAAAAATTAGTTAAGTGAATTAAAATTTTATATTTAGCATCAAATTTAATCTTTAATTTTTTTAAATTTAGTATGAAGCTAATACTTTCCTGGTCCTTAATGTAAGGCATAATTAACTAATTTGAGTAAATTAAGAATATTAGTTAAATTAGTTAATGTGATGTCTTCTTTTTAAAATATTTTTTTTAATTTCCTCCATCCATCTCTTCTTAATTATTGTTGACAGAATATTAATGGAATTAATTTTTAAAAAATTAATAAACATATAAAATATTTTAAATTATATTTTACATTAATGAGAGGGGAGGCGCAGTATATTTGTTATCCTTAACACGGAAGAGAAGCCGCGGAACACAGAACGTGCTAATAATCATCATAGCCCGATTTTCCTCTTCATCGTTGCTTGTCAGCAGCCCCTACCTCCTCCTCCTTTTGCCACCTCACCCATTTAACAAAATTACACTACCTCCCTCACATATGGGTTCTCATGCTCTCTCACATCTTGTCCGTTGCTTTAATCCCCCAGGTACTGAATCCAACGGCTCAAGAATCACCAAAGGATCATGATGAACCACAACGGTCGGGTAGAAAAATAGGCCGGATGGGGCCGGGAAACCGACAGAGGGAAAAGACGGCGAACTCGTACGGAGATTCGAAAGCTGTTCCCTAGAAAATGACACGTGTCCTCACTCGGTTGTCATGTTTGGAATGTTAGTCAGAAAGTCACCATAAAAAGGAGAGTCAGACAACGAAGATTGCATTGTCCTCTTCTCTTACGCTCATGTAATGCCCCATGTTATCATCCCTTGTATTCACAGCCACGGTTTTGCATGAAATTCCATTGCTGTCCCTATATGCAATTCTTCCTTCTTCTTTTTTCTTATTAAATTTGAGGGACAAATTCTAATTGCTTGAAGTTAATTACTCTTCTAGTCTTATTTATAAGTTACTTCTAACATATTTCATACAGATCAAAAAAATTTAAAATTTTATTAACTCTTATTTAAAATTTAATAACTTTTCAATTTTATCCTTGTTTAATACTCCCTCCATCCCTTATTATAAGATCCAATTTTTTGAATGGATTTGTCCCTTTTTATAATATCCTCTTTGAATTTGTCTGAGCATTTAATGTAGTATTACCTGTTTTATCCCTAATTTAATGTATTTAAAACATTCTCTTTCTTCATTTATCTTACTATTACTCTCTCACATTTATCCATTTATATATAGGGGTATATTTGGAAAAAAACTGAATTTGTTACGTATTAATTGCTTTTAACTAATTTTAACTATTTTCTTAAATGGCGCAATTTAGTTAAAACGATCTCATAATAAGGGACGAGGTAGTATATACTATTCCTTATTCAAACAAAATCAACATAATAATAAATGAAGGGTAAAATTGTATATCCATATAAAAAATTTCTCTCATTAGCCTATAAATAGGACCAAAAAATATCTTCTCACTTTGTCTCATAAATAGGAACAGAGCAGTATCAGCCATTGATCCTTAGTTTTTGTTCTTCCTTCTCTTATTAGGCTTGGTATTTGAATTTGCAAGGTCTATTCACACCTTCCCTTGTAATAATCACTCAATATTAATTAGTACCTCCGATGAGATTCACTAGGAGATAGTATTAAGCAGAACTTCTATTTTTAATCAAATCAAAACTATATATTGAACACGAATATTGAGTACAATTTTTATTTGTAATCAAATAAACCTACGACCTTTCTTCATGTTAATTAGTAGATACTATTCAAGAAGTCCAATATAATATATATCAGACAAAAAATTATCCATTGGCCCCAAATAAAAAAATTAAATACAACAAAGTTTCAAATAATTTAATCTTTACAAGTTTAACTTGTAAATGACGCAACTGGACTTTTAAATATACACGTTTGACTTGTAAATATAAATTGTTAAATTTTACTTATAAATATGTAAATTAAACTAATGAATATAATTTTTTTTAAGGATCTGTTATATGTAAATTTAACTTTTTATATCTAATTTTTTTAAACATAGAATCCATGAGTAGTTTTTCCTAATTAAACACACTTCATATACTTTTCCCACATCTCCTTATTCCCTAATTCCCATAATTACGTAGATAGCCGAATGTTCAATGCCTTTTTTCATACTTAATCTTAAATGCAATACTGATCATCGAATAGATTTTGTGGATGAAGTGGCATTTTGACAATCAAATGACCAATTAATCAACATATAAACTTACTAGTATTATTGTATAACTGTATCATAAAATAAAAAAGCCTTAATTAGATATTCAGGTTTCTTACTATATATAGCGGTCATCTTCTTAGAAATATAATCAACCTCACAGTGTTTTGAGCTCATGGTTTATTTGAACTTTAGACAACCGTATTGTATCATTCCTTTTGTTTTTCCATCACATAATTTTATAATATTTCCCCAAATGTTAAGGTCAATACTGGGGTCAACAGATATGTTAAGCTATTAGATCGATAAATGACAATTAAGCCTAACTGAATATTTTTATGCGTGACTTCCACTCACACGCTCTTAATATAAAACATTGATTTATTTTTATTTTGCCCAAGACGATAGTCTGAGAGCTTATTTAGAATAGCTTATAAATAGTTTTTTAATTGTAATTTACGGAATACGAGATAATCATATAAGAAGAGTTTTGTCTCTACTTACATAAAACGTACTTATAAGTGATTTCAATCGTGATGGCAAACAGGACCTGAACTAAGGCTAGCTCACATGCAAAGAAGCTACATATACACCGAGTAATTTTTATTTTTATTTTTCGGAAATGAAATTATACGTCAAAGCATTTGTATGATTTTTTTTTTAATGTAATCTTTTCGACTGGTATAAAGTAAACATATTTCAATGAATCTAGTTAACTTCTAGCTACAAGCAATATTTAGGGAGTTTCAGCAATAGGCTGATCGTACTAATTAAAGTCATCTCTTTTACTTTGAGCAACGTGGTTTTAGGTTTTGTCTTTCACGGGATTCAGTTTTCTACCCTCAAATCATATTTGACTAAACTAGTTTTAGTTCATAAAATAACACGGTTTTTCATTAACACAATTTGATTGATAGTTTATGACGATATCCTTTTAAAAGATATACAAAGTTACATCACCGGAGGGGAAAAAAAAAACATTGGACAAAAACAATCGCTGTTATAGATATTTAAATTTTGATTTGAATGGTCTAGAAACTCTATCAAACAAAAGCAATTTAGATAACTTAAACTAAACATCGACTATCTAAGTAGCGCTTAAAAATATCACATGGTCTTGTATGACTTTTTTTTCCTTTTGTTTTCTTTTCCAAACAACATTAAAGGTCTGTCGGATCTACATGTGATAAGTGCTTATAATTATTTTTACGTGAGTTGAGACAAGACTCTCCTCACATACTTATTTTGTATTTTGTAAATCATAATTGAACAGTTGTTTTTAACCGATCCTATGGCAATTTCAAATGAGTCCTAAGTGCTTGGTTGGAACTGTTACAAGCATTTATAAGTTTTTTTATGTATACAAAACTTTTCTTATAAACTTATTTCATATTTAGTAAATCCCGATTAAAAAGTTACTTTTAAATATTCCAATTGTCACGTCAAACAAGCCCTAATTCCAATTGGACAAACAAAAACCATCTAATCCGGTTAAAAATATTAACCATGTCATTGAACTTGGCTTATGAAGTTGGGTTGATTGATTAGGCACTAATTAATTATCTTGTCTTTCAAGTAATTTCAAGGATAATAACCTATTCATTACTCAAAGGGGCAAGTCCAATTATGTGCTCACAGCAAAAACTGTAACAGTGAATACCTTGAGGCTTAACTAACAATATCGTTACTTTTTGGAGTGCAAGGAAGACGGCTGGAAGGGTGTCCATATCAAGCATTTTTTTAACAGAAAACAATAGCTTCAAAATATTAAAAAAATATTAAAACACAAGCTTTTTTTTAGAGTAAGTATCATATGATTAAATATGTTAAAGAATGATTCACAAATGGTAAATGTTTATTATCAATATATGTATATATTTCTAAACAGGCTGACCTATCTGGTTATAGGCCAGACTTTGTGAAAATAACCAGCATATTTATCTAAACAGGCTTAAAAATAAGTCTTAGATCTAGTCTGGCTTCTTTACTAAATATTCCGAGTCAGGCTTGAAATAGGTCCTTTAACATGCTTTTACCCCTTAAATTACCACTCAGTACATTGCCCCGGGGATAAATTTGTAGTTTTGAGTTTAAGTTTTGTGATGAATGAAAACCAAAAAAGGTAAATTTTCCCATCAAGCAACCTCCTTTATATGTGAAATTTATACCCTGTTAAAAAATTAGTCATAAATAATGTACTTTATTTTTGAAGCCCTATATGAGAATATATACACACGCATCACTACCTACTTGCTCCTTTTGATTCAAAATATAAGCTAAACATTTTTAGAAGAACTTGATTTTTTATAACATAATATTTACTTTTGTCGAAATATTTAATGAATTTTTTTTTTAATTTTACCTTCATATATTATGTTTCATCTTTAATTCATTTATTGCTTCTTTTACTTATTTTCTTTATTAATAAAGGTATATTTAAAAGAATACACGTCTTATATATTTATTATTTTAAATTGATTTTAACTAATTTCTTAATAAATATAAATAAATAAAATTTATTTTATATTTTAAATCGGCGAGAATATTTTTGATCAAGCAATTAAACTGGAGGCCAAGAAATTAAACAGGGACAAATACGTCATTACGAAGAAAATCATGTTCCGATGAGAGAAGGTGGCGCAAAGGCATACATAAGAATACGAGCAATCCGAGATCGAAGAATGGCGCATAGCACACTCCGTTGCTCGCCTTCGATTTCGGAGTCTCTCCTTCTCACCTTCTCAAACCAACACACCCATTTGCACAGACGAGCCCTCCCTCCAACCTTCAACGACGTCTCTCCAATCCCTTCATTTTCTCTCTTCCACGGCCAAAATTGAAGAAAATTCTTGGGACTTTTTCTTTCGCGGAATTTTCGATCTTTTCTAAAGTTTTCATTTAGAATTTGATTGCTGTCTATTGATAACTTTCCGGCACCGGCGATGTCGTCTGGCGGCCTCACTGGCTCCTGCAACACCAGCCCAAGGATGTCGGGGCCCACCACCACCAGACGACGAGTCGCAGACAATATGGACGCTGAGAAACAAACTGCCTTTTCAGATTTGGGCGAGGTCGAGCAAGACGACACCAACGGCTCTAATGCTTCTGTTCCTGCTTCTTCGTCTGGGTCCCACCACCATCATAACAACCAGCTTCACCCCGTGATTCGCTTTCTCCTGCTGCGCATGCGGATACTCTTCTTCATTTCCGATTCCTTCGTCATTCGCATTGAGCGCTTTTTCCTCTGGGTTGCCTCGGTGGTTCAGTCGATGAGATCCATAAGGAACAGGGGTCGTAAGATTCTGGGGATTTTTATTTTCATGGTAGTTATGCCTCTTATTGTGAAGGTGTTGTTAATTGGTGGTCTAATGGAGGTTAAAGGGAGGAGTATAGGGCATGGCCATTTGATCTTGCAGAGATTCAAAGAGGATTGGGCATCGGCGCAGAGAGTTCTCACCGAGGCCCGAACGGAGCCCTCCATGCCCAAGCGAGTTCTTGAGAGGGTGTCTGTAAGTGAATTTTCCTTGTCGTTTCAATCAGTGCGTTGTTACTAGGAATCTATCGCTTTCCTCCGAAAAGAAAGAAAGTTCCATATGGATCTTTCATGTCCTGATAAAACTCAGAATCCAGGCTCTAAATTTTAGGTATTTAACTTTGGTTTTTTGTAGTTTATTGAAAACTGAATCTTTAAAAATAATCAGCTCATCATGAATAGTCCTTTTAAAGAGTCACTTGATGAAAAGAAGTGAGATGCTTGATTTTGTCACTTTGAAGGGCTAAATAACTATCGGAAACAGGAGGACCAACCTCTTTTTTTTTTTTTTCATTCTTTTTTTTTGGTTGTTGTTTTGTTGCTTTGGGGTGACCCTGTGCAATTAAGGGGAGACTAAAAAGCTAAATTTTAGTGATGGAGCTCAACTTTTCAAATTGCTTCTTTTTCTTTTTCGTTTTTAATTCGAGGTTTGATTAGCTGTCTAGCTTTCTTTGGATTTACTTTTTTTTGGAGGGGTGGGGTCAGACTTTGGATTCATCGGTAATTTCTGCTTTTTGGAGTGTGAGTTTGGATCATAAACGCTGGTTATGCTTCGCTGTAACGTTCTGAGCAAAATCGGTATTGAGTTTTGCCTTTTCAATTCGTTGACTGAAAGAATGGCGGAAAAAATGCCCCTTGAATATCAGGCTCTCGCAAGATGGCTCTGACCATACAGTAACGTGTTGAGGCTGCTTCCTGTTACTTCTTCCATTCTCTCACATGCCAGCCCATGCGTGTTGATTTGATTGATAATATTTGGACGTTCTTTAATTTCTTGACTTTTAATGTCGTTCTTGGTAATTAACAACCTGCTCCTGCTAGAATATGACGGAGGGATATAAAAATGTTACAGGGTGTCCCTAAGTTGGGTCCACTTAATCCACTTGACCAATTTTTAGATTGATTTGGACTCATGGCATGATTCTTTCCTTTACCTTTTTTTTTTGTTGTTGTTATTTTTAATAGACTCCAGAGATATGGATGAAGCCCAACAGCGACAACTATTATAAATGCATTTCTCGATCCAAGAATAGGACTGGTTTGTATAAATACTCTTGATTTTTCTCAAGCGTGATTGCGCTAAATCCTAAATGAAAATTCGGCTGACTTCTATTTCCACTTTTGTGCTCTTCAGACACAGAAACAAATGGCTTTCTTGTCCTTCATGCCAATGGCGGATTGAATCAAATGAGAACAGGAGTAATCTTCCCATTCCTTTGGATGATTTTTTTCCTCAATGATATTTTCTCGTCTAATTCTTAGAAGCTTCATCGGCTTTACAGATTTGCGATATGGTTGCAGTGGCAAAGATTTTGAATGCCACCCTTGTCCTTCCATCTCTTGATCATAATTCCTTTTGGACTGATCCGAGGTCAGTAGCCTATTTGATAATGTGGTGCTTGCAAGTAAACTTCGGGTATCATCATTTTCTCCAAAAATGTAACGCGCCTAATATTTTTCAGTGGCTTTAAAGATATTTTTGACTGGAAGCACTTTATCCAAGTTTTAAAACCTGACGTTGAGATAGTTGAGTATCTGCCAGTCAAGCATGCAACTATAAAACCTGTTGTGAAGGCTCCTATTTCTTGGTCAAAGGTGTGAAATATAATTTGAATGCATAACTAGATTCAAACAATCGTCTTAGTGGAGTAGCGTCCTTGATCATATGTGTTTAATTTGCAGGCTAGTTACTACAGAGGTGAGATTCTCCCACTATTAAAGCGACACAAGGTCATTCATTTTACCCACACAGATTCCCGAATAGTCAACAATGGCCTTGCTTCCTCTCTTCAAAAGCTTAGATGCCGTGCCAACTATGAAGCCCTTAGGTACGCGCCAGAGATTGAGGAGCTTGGGAGGACTTTGATTGATAGGCTAAAAATCTACGATGAACCATATATTGCCCTTCATTTAAGGTATTATATTATAGTAATCTTTTTTTTTTCTTGTTATTTGTTAGTTATTACACCTGTGTAATACATTAACTAACGTTTTCTTTCCTTCTTTTTTGTTATTCAAAATAGATATGAGAAAGATATGCTATCTTTTACCGGCTGCAGTCACAACCTCACTGCTGAGGAGGATGAGGAACTTAGAGTAATGAGGTATGAAGTTCAGCATTGGAAGGAAAAAGATATTGATAGTGTTCAACGAAGACTAGAAGGGGGTTGCCCTATGTCCCCTAGAGAGGCAGCTATCTTTCTCAAGGCCATGGGTTACCCTTCCACCACAACGATCTACATAGTTGCAGGGCCTATATATGGTCGCAATAGCTTGTCTGACTTAAGTGCAGAGTATCCTAATGTGTTCACTCACTCCACCCTTGCAACTGAAGAAGAGTTAAAACCCTTCAAGCCATATCAGAATCGCCTTGCTGCCTTGGACTACATTGTGGCCCTGGAGAGTGATGTCTTCGTTTACACTTACGATGGAAATATGGCCAAGGCAGTGCAAGGCCATAGGATGTTTGAAGGATTCAGGAAAACAATTAATCCTGACAGGTTAGATATGAAATCAGATTATCGTCATGATTTGGGTATACGGTTTAGTGTTCAATGGTTTGGTCCAAAATCATATTGCCCACGCATGATTTGAGCACCAGGTGCTTCGATCCAGTATTACATTAAATCAAAGTAATCGCGTTAATATTCAGATGAAGGAAAGTGTTGCACTTACATTGTTTATCATTTCAAGATTCACATGATAGGGGGACATACTTATCTTGACCCAAACCATGCCCGACAAACCGTAATCTATCATTTCTTTTTCTTTCTAAGTTTTGGCTGGCATGGTGTAAATGTGATGCACTGATTTCTTTTGTTGTTTTAATTTTGTTTCTTTAAATCTATTTCAGAGTGAATTTTGTTAGATTGATTGATCAACTTGATGAGGGTGCCATGTCTTGGGAAGAATTTTCTTCCAAGGTTAAAAGTTTGCATTCCAATCGGCTTGGTGCACCTTACCTTCGGCAGGCAGGAGACTCACCTAGGATGGAGGAAAATTTTTATGCCAACCCCTTTCCTGGTTGTATCTGTAACAAGTCTCGGGAATTCATCACAAGCCTGAAACTTGACCACAGAGTAAATCTTGCTGCTGAGTCACAAAGATAGTATCTTTGCCGGTATGACCATCCCATACGCCTGTGTTCGTGGTAGATTATGAATTATGAATTTATGATGTCACTGCCTAAGAGGTAGCTCATTTGGGTTGTGGTGGGAAACATGCTTCATTTCACAGCCTGGTTGATGATAACTGCTGTGAATGACGATGGAGCTTTTGGGGTTCTCATGCCACTAAAAGAGAAGCTTTTGTTTAGGCAAGTACCTTGAGAAGGTCAAAAGGGGGCCAAGCAATGCAGGAGGGAATAGAAGGTTGTCTATATTTAAAGGCCAGTCGAGTTAGTTTATACTGGGAGATTGATTGAGATTGGACAGAATATACGCCAATTGATCTGAGAGTTATACCACTGATTCATTCATTCATTGATTCTTTCTTTGATCATAAGCTGCCACATGGAGCATCATTTGATATTTGAATGTAACATTTGATACCAGTCCAGAGTAGAAGTTTAGCTTCACACGTTTCCACAGATATATTGTTAATAGTATATTCTTTGTTAGATGGTGATGCCTGTGTACCATTATTATTCCTTCGTGCATTGAAAAAGTTGTGATTTTAAAAAATTGAAAGTTTAGGGATGGCTTTACTTAATTGTCAAAGCAAATAAAAGGCTCCTTGAAAAATTATTCGCACTATAAGTACCATGAGATTTTTAACACTGTAATTTTCAGACAATTTTAGTCATGGGTCAAAATCATTTAACTTTTTAAAGTTATACGTAGGTATATGTTGGCTATAACAAGCCAACTTTCTCATAGTGTAAATTGAATATATCAATATACTCGTATGTAATCAACATATCAACATATATAATGAAATGGGATTTATAGATTTGTTTTAATATGATTTTCAATTGTCATTCTCGGACATTTACAAGTTCTGAAACTATGAGTGGTTTTTTAATATTTAGCACAATATAGGGAAATATCATTAAAACATCACACTCTCAAATTTATAATAACATGTTTTTCTTTCGAGTGAAATCAATTATAGTTCTTGACACGTTTTTTCGGGCCAAGTTCTTTTGCTCTTAATATGCTTCGGTGGGGATAAAATATGTCTATGCTATGTTATCTCGGTTGTTAATATAAGAGTTTGTTTAACATTTATTTTAGTTCTAAATATAAGATATCATTTTAATTCTCTCATATTTGATATTTATCGATTTTTTTAAGATAGTCCCATAAATGTTTCATGAAATGATAATTCAAACTAATACACATAATTAACAAGGATATTTTAGATATAAAAACACTTATTTATTATAAATAATTAATTTAATTAATTTTTTAATCTATTTAAATTATTCAACTAATTTTTATATCAAGTGTCGGAAGCAATACATGCATACAAACCAGTCAAGCTGCCTCACTTTGACCCAACTCACCTCATCTTCCAACCTCTTCTACCATTGTTAAATTTCTAGGAGGCTTCTCCCCTACTTTTGGAATACAAAATTTAAAAGGCAATAAAAATTGTGACAAAAACAGTTATTTGTCTTTATATGGAAAAGAATATAACCTATCCTTCCCAAGGCGAGGGCGGCTGTAGCTAGCTTTCGTTCGGCTGCTGCGAAACTCACTGGAGTCACCCTCCGTGGAGAGGGGATGAATGCACGAACTTGCCTGCTGGTGGAGTGGAGGTTTATGTCGACGGAGCGTATGCTCATGGAAGTGCCATCTCAGGATGCGGCGGGGTGATTAAAGATACTAGTTGTGCCCCCATTGAAGCCTTCATGTTGAACATTTCCCAGGTGGTAGTCCCCTGGTTGCACAACTCTGGGCTTGTATAATGGGTATGCGCCGAGCTTGGGAGAGTGGCGACCGCTAAGTTTTCCTGTGGGGCGACTTCAGAGAAGCTCTACGACTGATTTGCGAAGGAGCCAATGATCTGCATAGTCACAGGGACCTGATCGCCGAAGGGAACGCCTTGCTCCGACGAGAATGGGAGGTGGGGTTGAGATATGTTGACAGAGACAGAAGCCAAGATGCTGATGCGCCAGCGAAGAGGGCCTTGAGTTTGCCTGCTGGCCTTCATCTCACTCGTACTGATGCTGCTGCTTTTACGTTGTCTCCCGGTCAAGATACCTGGATTGGAACTGATGTTGAGAAAAATTATTAGAAGAGTATTTAAAATGAAATATTGCTTGTTATACAGAATTATACAAGCACATATACGAGAGTGAAGAATACTATGAGGGGAAGTGGTATTTTTTAATCTTACCTCCATGGATTTACCTAATCTTATATAATAAATAATTGCTCATATTAAATATTTTTTTAATAAATTTTTTTAATCATAATCCTAGTTTTTATCTTTTATTTTCAATGTTTTGTATCAAATGGGACCATTGAGTAGCTTGGCTTTGCTTTTACTTCCTGCGGTATCAAATATATACACACATAGCAAACGCCTTAATTAGTCAATTTAGAAAACTCTTGATAATATTGCTCTAGAACTATTTATCATAGGGAAGGGGGATTTTTTAAGGGAGTTCCTCCCCAAAAAATACTTATAAATTTTAAAATTATAAATTAGTCTCATTGGTATATTTTAATAATAATTGACAATATTTAAAAAATAAATGATGATGTATTTTTACAGTTTTCTTAATTTAGGATTTTAAAATTTTAGAAATATTTTTTTAATTTTTTAATCTCATTTGAAAGTTACATTATCAAACTTTTAACATGGATATACTATTTTGTCATTTATTATAGTATGGATTGTTAATTTTTTTAAAAAATATATATTAAATAAAAAGAAAATTAAAAATTTAGTGTATTTTAATACAGAATTATTACAGTTTAAAGTTTTTATTTGAGATAATATGCATTTTTTTTAATATAATTCAGAGTATTCTCAAATTATTTTGAGAGTAATTTTTGTTGGATAGGGAACGTTAAGATTAAAATCTTTCAAATAAATATGTTTCTTAAAATTCAAAATTATATTCCTTTTCTTATATGAGATTGCTTACCGTCCATATATATGCAATTTCAAGTTAGAAAAATTGCAATAAGATCCCACCTAAGGGAATTAAATACGAAAAGGTCCTTTAAAATTACCAAATTATTTTGAAGTCCTTAGAGACCTTATTGTAAAAAAATTTTTGTTTAATTACTAGATTGTTGTTTTTTTTTTGGAGTACGCAAGCAAAGCTCGTGGACAGGAATCGAACCCTGTTAAAGGCCACCATCAGATGGCTACCATGCCACTGCGCCACACAGACACTTTTAATTGTCAACCACTACTCTTTCAGTTGTTAATGTAAACTAAAAAAAAAGACAATTTAGTAATTAAATAAATAAATTTTCTTGCAACGATATCTTTTAAGATTTCAGAATAATTTAATAATTTTAAGAGACTGTTTTGTATTTAATTTTCTTACGTCGCACTTTGTTACAATTTTCCTTTTAAAGTTTTAAACATGCTGAAAATGACCGAAGGAGTGCCACGCGGGCATAACATCCAAAGGATATTACCTAACAGATGCGTTGGTAAAGTCATTCTGTACCGTCTGATCCTGGTGCAGTCGAGTAAAGGAGGACTTGCAATTCCAAAGATCTTCTCGAAATTTCTAAACTTCGCGACGGGGTCTTTCGTTCTGAACTGGAGCTTGCCGTTTCTGAACTGTTTCGTTTTCTCCGGTAAGAACTGAAGTCTTCTCTTGTTCTGTTCCTTTGAACCTGCTTTGAGCCATCCTTTGGCGATCTTGTCATTGGGCCCGCAAAATTTGTAATTACGTGGTTTATTTTTTCGATTGACTTTTCTTGATGCGAGATTGAATATGTGGCTTTGTTGTTTAGGGTAAATTTGTATAAATTTGTGCTCCTGGTGTTAATAGCTTCAATAATTGATTTGTTTCGGATGAGAAGATTTCCAAGTTGTTCTTGCTGACAAAACTGACTGCAAATTGCATCCGATTAAAAACAAAAAAAATCTGTGATTTTTGCCTACCATGAGCCGGGGCAAGAAATGAACTAAATTGTTCAAACTGGAGAAATCGATTTTGAATTAGGATTCCCTGTTGAAGCTTCTAGATTTCCTTTTGGATACCTAAGCTTCACGCCTTCCCTGCTGTGAAGCACCCATCGTATCAGAACCTCCTATCAAAGCGAATGAATCCTCTGAAGTTGAAGTTGAGACCTCTGAATTTCTATAAAGTTTCCCCTTTTATACTTTCACCATTTTATGATATTGTTTTTTGTAAAACATAAAACCATTTTATGGTTTTTTTTTTTTTTTGGTAAAACATAAAATATTCTCTTTTTCTTTCAAAGGCAACGTTGGAGAAATTCTGGATCAAAAACTTCGGAGCATCCATTACCCCCACCAAATATGACACAATACTTCAAACTACATTTGACCCTCTATACCTTATGGTCATGTCATGTGATATCTTTGTCAGCATTGTTGCTTCTTTGCTGGCATATATTGCCATGGCTACTACTCACAATGTAACTCAGCGCGCCGATATATAGACAAGTAATATGTAATCTCTGAGGGGCTTGAAAGATCGTTGAGAAACAGAATCTACTCACTACCTTCTTTTCACCTCCCTTCCATGCCTAAAAAGAAAAGCAAGAAGAAAGGATTGGAAAAAGAAAAACCCACTCAGTAATCCTGCCACAACCATATGGAGATTACATGAGCGATCAATAAAAACTTCTTTAATTCAACTTTGTTTTAGAGGTCTCTGTTCATTGAGCCTTGGCACTAAACATTGATGGATCTTAGACCTGGCAGATTCTTAGTATCCATCCTTAATGACCCCACCGATGATTGGTGGTAGCTCCATGATCAAATATTCAAATTCTCTCTCTCTCTCTCTCTCTCTCTCTCTCTCTCCTAATCCTTTGTTTTGCCTTGATTAAGCATGTGTTTGCCACTTCAAAATCTATATTTAGTTGTTGGTAAAGGCTGTATCTATTTTGTGCATAAAGAATCCTTTGATGGTTCATATTTTGGCAGAAAATGGGTTTTTGGACCTTGTTAGAAGGGTTTCTACTCTTTGCAAATGCATTGGCAATACTGAATGAAGAACGTTTTCTTGCTCCCAGAGGATGGACAATAGCAGAACTAACAGGAGCCAGGAGAAGTACCCTCAAAGGGCAGATTATAGGGCTTATACATGCCTGTCAGTTCCTGAGACTTCCCCTTATACTATTGAATATTATCACCATAATTGTGAAGTTGTTCACTGGATGAATTGAAGAGCCAGACCGAAAGTCTATGCTCTTTTGTGTGTATCATGCAAAAATCGAGTTGCATTTCAGTGGTAAAATGAGCTGAACTTATTATAAGGCTTTATCATTATCAGTCGCATCTTATCATTTTCTACTCCTACCTGCATGTTTGTTTTCCTTTAGGGTTGCTATAAATGTGGAGGAATTTAATTTCTCAATCCTTTGGAAACCATGTATAGATATAAGAAATTAAAGAAAAGTAAAATATGAATCGTAAAACAGATGCAAAACTATGTATAGACTTGCTCCTTCAGTGATGAATATCATCACTGTAGTTGACATTGGTTGCTGGGTAAGTGTAAAGAGATAGAAACTTCAAGTTGAGGTTTGGAACCCATGAGCCCTGTCTTACCCTTCAGAGCATGAACTCTATTGCCACGTTTTGTACAATGGAACTAAGGCTGGGGAAGTGGAATTGGAATTGGAACTGTGTTTTTGGTGCGTTTGGTGGTAGGAATCTAGTTCTCCATGGAAGGCATTTCCAACAAAATCATTGGAACTCATTTCCATTGCTCCCCTGCAGAACTCAAACTTACCCTTCAAGGAATTGGAATTGGAATTGGAACTGTCTTTGGTGCATTTGGTAGTAGGAATCCGGTTCTCCATGGAAGTCACTTCCAACAAAATTGTTGGAACTCACTTCTATCGCCCCCTTTATAGAACTCAAACCACTTCCTTGGAATTAAGGTCATATCTCATCCCTAACCTTCAAGCCTCCCTCCGGCTTTCGTTGGCCCAACCACGGCTATTGGCAATGGCACTCATTAGGGACTCACCGACAACGACAGTATTGGACCGGTGGTAGCACTTGACCACCACAACCATCACCAACGGCCGATAACATTCACCAAGTGTGATTCCACACTTATCTTCATTAGGTTTGTGCTTCATCGTTCTGACAAATTTCACCATTTTTAGCAAGCTTGGAAAGCATGGTGCTTGACTAGTGACCTTCTGCCTCTTGTGCGACAGCGATGACCCTCAGCCTCTTGTGTGGCAGTGGTGATCCCCCCTTCTCTTTGTCGTTCATGATTCCAACCCCGAGTCTCGATCGGTCAACCCTCCCTCTTTTGCCTTCGCTCATGATCCACAGACCCTCCTACTCTTGTCTTTTGTTTTTGCTTCTCTCATCTTCCATCTTTGCATCTTTGATAAATAGGTTGGGTTTGTATGATTCTTTTTAAATCTTTTGTTTTGGGTTTGATCATTATTGAGATTGGTTATTTCTAAACTAGAATACATTGTATTTGATTGTGTTTTCTAATTTTTCGACGATGGTTGCCTTTTTGGATGGTTGCCATGGCTTCTGGTGACTGAACAATGGGTTTGATATCTGGGTTAGGGTTGGTATTTTATTTTTTGATAAGGGCATATTAGTCTTTTTATATTATAAATACAAGTATTAAATTAGAATAATACTCCACTTCTATTGTCATACCAAACACATTTTAAGACCCACTTCTAATTCCACTTCCACATCTAATTCCAATTTCACTTCCACTTCCATTAAAAGCTTTCATGATACCAAATGAGGCATAACCATTTCATCATCATTATATTTTCTTTAATGCCACGTTTGGTGTGATGGAAGAGTTTTTTATGGAAGTGGAAGTGGAAATAGAAGTGCAAGTAGAAGTGGAAATGGGAAGGGAAGTGGGTTTTAAAACACTTTTGGTAAGATGATGGAGGTGGGATATAATTTTTAATCAAATATGTATTTTTAATATGAAGTTACTAAAATACCTTTTACCAAAAAAAAAAAAAAAAACTCTCCGCCCTCCCTGGCATCCACGGCTAGTCTACCCAAACTACTATCGGGTAATCCTTTATTGGCAAGATCGAATTGGCAATATAAGGAAGAGTACAAAATAATCAACTTGAATCACAGTGAATGGAAAAGAACGCAGCAAACCAAAATCGAAGAATCCATCCAAAAGCATCAACATATCACAATCTGAAAAATAGAAAGCTGAAAAATCACATATCAATTCAAAACTACAATCTGAAAAAAGAACAAGATCTCAAAAGAACAAAATCTCTTTCATCCAAGAACAAGGATGGCAGTCTCTCGGAGGAGGGTGTTTTGAGAGTGCTAATTTGCTGTACAATCTGTTGACTTGTCATATCCTTCTTCAAATAGCTCTCTTGCTGTTATGTTCTCTTTCAGAAAAGAAATCAAACTAGGAACAAGAAATCACCACACTGTTTGAGAATGCCATTTTGGGTCGGGATTGTGCAGTGTATTGTGTCTTTTTTAGAAAAGGTTATCAAATCAAAGTATGAATTGTGAATCGGAAAGCAAATTTTTTGGATCTTGAATTGAAATGTATAGTGGATTGTAAAACTCTTAAACAATTATTAAAAATGACATATAAGTAATTTTATAGAAGAGAATATCAAAAGTTCGTAGATATTAGGTTTTAATACAGCTCATAAGAAATTAAAAAAAAAAAAAAGCAACTACATATCAAATTTCAATGACGGAGCCCCCAAAATCAATTAGGGAATAAATAATTAGGGTTTTGATTGATATTTGATGAGTTGGAAGGGATAAGTACGTTAGAGAGTATTTGTACAGCAAATTGCCTCCTATAAATAACAAAATAATCAGAAAAAGTATACATAAAAAAGGTTTTTTTAATGGGTTGAATCAGATCCAGTGCAATTCAACACTACCTCAAGTGCATGATTTTGGTGTGAATTGTATAATTTAGGCCACAAAAAGATACAATGGGAGATTTGAATCTTTTATTGTCTCTTTTGTCTCGAATTGCATGATTCGAATCGCGAATTATGGGATTCTAACTATAGTGCCCACCATTCGGTTAAAGATTTGGAGTAGGAGAAGAAGACAAAAGTTTGGAGTTTTGACACATGATCTAGAGAAATCGAAGCTTAACACGATCAAAGCTTCTCCATTGTCATATCAAGGCTTCCACCTTGTTAGCTACTCAGATCTACAAGCTTCTTTATTGTCAGATGTCCAGATCAAAGCTTGCGATAGATGTGGACGAGGAAAGAGGGAGGGAACGATGGAGGCAGAATAAGATGGGATAGGGTGACAGAGCTTGCTGTTACAATACTTCATCATCGTTGTTGTTACCACTACTGCACTTGGCCATTGCAGGAAGAGAGAGAAATACAGGCTGTCGAGACTCAAAATTGGAGAGATAAAGTAGGGCAGGAGGGAAAAACTGTGAATTAATAAAATATATGAGGGTATTATGGTCATATAGTTTCACTTCCATGGAACTTATCTCAGTTTTTGGGTACACCCAAGGAATCCACGTCCATCATTTTTCCTGGAAGTGAGTTCTAGAAGGAAGTAGACTTCAACACACTGAACAACCTAATTTCATAGTTCTACTTCCACTTCCAATTCCCTAGCCCCAATTCCATTGCACCAAATGGAGCATAAGGCTCCCTTGAAATGTGGGATATTTGGTGATGAGATCATAGTCTGTTGTTATATTTAATCATGTTGCACACTGATAGGATTCTGAGTGGTCGAGAGTGGTATTGGAATTTGTTCTTTATCACTTGAGGCAATAAAAAGCCTCGTGTATGTATGTGTGGGTATATATATATACACACATATATATTTTACAAATTCATCATTTCTATTGTGGTCATGTCCTTGGCCTAAACATCTCTTGAACGGTTAAAGATCCCAAAAAAAAAAAGAGATTCTATCATCTAAGATCAAAACCCTCCTTCATTGGTAAATTCAATCACTCAATAATAAAAGTTTGTTTAGCAATTATGATTTACGAAATACGAGGTAAGTATGTGGAAGAGTTTTGTTAGAAATGAGTTCCATGAAGAAATGGATTTCAACACACCAAACAGTCCAATTTTATAGTTCCACTTTCACTTCTAATCCCCCGGCCTTAATCCAATTGCACCAAATGGAGCATAAGGCTCTTTGAGATGTGGGATATTTAGTTATGAAAGCATAGTCTATTATTATATTTAATCATATTGCACATTGATAGGATTGTGAGTGGTCTTGGAATTTGTTCTTTGTCACCTGAGGCCATAAAATGCCTTCCATATGCGTGTATGTATATTTTCCAAATTCATCATTTCTATCGATGTTATATTTTTGGTCTAAACATCTCTCGAAGGGTTAAAGATCCCAAAAAAAGAATAGAGATTCTGTCATCTAAGATTGAAACCCTCCTTCATTGATAAATTCAATCCCTCGACAATAAATGTTTGTTTAGCAATTGTAATTTACGAAATATGGGATAAATATAAAAAGAGTTTTATTTCGATTTATGTAAAATATGTTTATAAATAATTTTAATTGTGATCTCAAACAACCCTAGAGTAAATAAAATTACCCTAGTGGCTTGAACAAACCATAAAGGTCATAGAAAATAATTTTGATGGAAACCGCGGAAAGGAGAGAGAATTGTGTGAATGGGTATATATGTGGACCAGAATACAGATACTTTATTGGTATGAAGACAATCATATTTCTTTGGATATTTTATAATTCTGTAATACAGTCTTTAATACGAAAAAAGTATATGTATTTTTATTAAAAAGTACATAAAATATTACGGAATGCGGTTTATTTGCCTATCAAAGAGAATTTTTGAGAGATTTTGATATTGTTATTGCCATTAAAATTAATTATAGATATCTTGTTTTTGTGTTAGACTCGGCAGGGTTTGAAACCCCTTTTATGAATCGAGATATTCTTTTGGACAGCGAAGTGAGATTGATATCGATAATTTTAATTGAATTTAGACGCGATGAATATTGTTGCCCTAAACTTGGGGCAAGTTTCTGTTCAGTAATTATGATTGATGCTCTTTCTTTCACATTTTTTAGAGATGGTAAACAAATGTGGGGTCCAGTCAATCAATTTAAATTCAGTTCTTTGGGAAAAAAAAATCCATTCAACTTATTAAATTCATAAGATCCACCACAATTTAGAAAGTTTTGTATTTAAATATATTTTCTTGCTAATATAATAGGCAATGCTAACGACAACGTTAATTGCTTTGTAATGAATCATTACGCAACGTTAATTTCTTATGGTTATGATATCAATTTCCCTTTTAAGTGTGAGGTTTGCAGAACAACTGCAATATCCATATTAAAACATAGCTGGCAAAAAAGAAAATAATCAAAACATCATAAAATTGTCTTAAATAA